AATAATAATAACTCTCTTCCTTTCATAATAATAATAATATTAATAAAAACACCCCTTCTTCACTTATTTACACCTCTTTCATTTACCCTCATAGCTCCCCTTCTCTTTTTCTCCTATCTATCTATCTATATTATTATTATTATTATTATTATTATTATTATTATTATTATTATTCATATAGGCAGTTTGTGCTGTGCGGTTGTGGCCTTGCATGTCGAAGTCTGCTGGTCTCCTGCGGGCCTACGCGGTGCTGCGGCAGTTGGAGGTGCTGCGGCAACAAGACATCCTCGACCCGCTGCCCAACGACACAGACACGGACGCCAGCAGCAGTGCAGTCCATACAGAGGATGAGAACAACACCCAATACCCATTAACGTACGGTACACAATCATTAGAAGAAGAAGAAGAATATAGAAAGAAAGATGGTATATATGTGATAAGGGGTTCTTCACAAGAGGGTGTGAAATCCCCATCCCATGATGTTTCTCCACATGAGAAGAGTAAAGTTTTACAACGCATGTTGCAGGATATTGTAGAATTACGCAAAAAGACAGTAAAAGTAAAAGAAACGAGAGATGATGAAATTCATCAACAAAAACAAAAAGAGTTAGATAAATTAGAGGAGATGCGTAGACCTGTAGAGTACACAACATATGGAGAAAATAGTCCATTACCAGAGAATCCATCTTCTCGTTTGATTTCTCCTTTAAAGGATGAGGAAAACTATTATGACCATAACAATAGCAACAACAGGAAGAGATATGATCATCATCATTATATGAATAAAAGTAATCATGATGATGATGATGAAAATGTCTTCTTTGATGATCCAAGGTTTTCTACTCCTAGAGGATTACCGCACGGTGTAAAGGAAAGAGAACACAACAAAAACCGCAAGAATACAAAACCATCACATTATACTACTAAATCTATGGAAGAGGGAGTTCATACCGTTACTTTCTACGAAGTCCCTCCATCCAAAGATTCAGAGAATATATTCACATCACATGAATCACAACATAGTTCACATAAAAAATCAAAACTTACGGTTAATTCTCCAGTAGTGAGTGATTATGCCAAATCTCTTATTGAGCAACATAGGAGTCGGAAAGAAAAACTCATGCATGAGATTGCACAGAGAAAGGAACAACCACCACCAATAAAGAATATGAATAATACGGATTTACTTCATCGCATGGAGGCAACACCTCCATCGGCTGCAATTTCTCCTATTACTCGTGTAGATGATGCTGAAGAAGCGTTTTCACCTTTCCCTAGTCATCAAATTGATTTTGATGAGATGTGTGGAGAGAATGATAATCAACCACTTATAACATATCTTCAAGAACTTACCACGATGGGTTCAGAAGAACTTCAGGAGGAACTTCACAAGATGAAAAATTGTGACGATGATGCCAAAAAGAAGAATAATAAAAACAATATCAATACCAGTAGTGGTAGTATCAGTAATACTAATACTACTACTAATACTACTAATAAAATTAGTGAACTTCGTTGTCGAGAGTGGTTTGCCCTCACTGCCCTTGTAAATTCACCAGATACCATTCGTCATATTATTGTTCCACTGTTTCTATCGGAATTAACAGAAGATAATGATACGAATGAGTATGATAGTACTGACCCTAATTCCCGTATTTCACACATCTTATGTGCACTTATTGGACTTGGAGAACTCGCTGCGGCCGCTTTACCAATACTTCTAGAAATGCTCATGACACGACGTGGTGTTGCGAAACTTGTGGCTCTTGCTATTCGTGCAGTGGGAGGCGATGACGGTCTTCACGCACTGTGTCGAATAGCACGAAATAGAAATGATCCACATATTCGCTCCGCTGCGATTTATGGAGTGAGTACACTGGCGAATCCAGTCTTGGGCAGTACAAATGTATATTGTCTCAGTACGGCGGGATTACGAAATACCGTTGTATTCTATCAACCTCCAGTCCAATCGGGATATGTAGAAATCAATAGTGAGAGCGGTGAACCACTGCGGGAAATGTCATTACAGCGTCCACCACCGTATCGACCAACAGATGTTTTCTTACATGCAGAAACAGTTCGACAGCAATTATTACACTTCACCGCCTCTCGTCTGTTTCGCCGATCTACACATTCTTACGCCGTACTTCCATTAGTTCTCCACAATTTTACCAACGCGGCGGTGGAGGCATCTCAACAAGAAGAGATGCCACAGACGATACTGATAGCATTACGTCGCTATGCAAATGAACTAGATGATATTTCATCTCTTCCACCTCGTGTATTGCCCTTTTCATATGACCCACACTACATTCATCGTGAAGATGAATTATTTGCTGTGGAGGAAACACTCATGACTGTACTGTTAGACCCGCACACACCGCCGTGTGTGATGGAGCAGTCACTTGTCTCACTGGCCTCACTCCCGGATTTCGCCACCACACACGTGGCACCGGCGCTGTTGGATTTTGTCGTGCATTGTGTCTCTCGCTTTGAACAGCATTGTGTGGATGTGAATCATAATAGTGTAGATGGAGAATATACAGATAAACAGTGTAGGCTTACGAGCAAGGATAAACATTCAAAAGAGAAAACCAAGGATAATGACAAGGAGGGAGGAGGAAGAGGAGAAGAAGAAGAGGAAAAAGAAAAAGAAAAAGAAGTGGAGGTGGAGGAGGGAATTGCTGTGGATGTGGCTGTTCTCGTTGCTGGTCTCGTCGCATTGGGTCGAATTGTGCGAAGTGAAGGAACACCGCCAATCGTGACGGACACCGCCTGTGAAGTGTTAATACACAATTTAGTCGCATTGCCAGTTAGAGTGCGGCATGCCGCCTGTATTGGTCTGGGTGAAATCGGTGCCATGTCCAACAAAACAGAACTCATGGCACAAGCATTGAATGATTGTTTGAATGATAGTGTGATGAATCATGAAACCGTCGCATGGGCACTCGCACGATTGGGACAACCAGGAGTTTCTCTCTTATTGGACCGAATTACACATGAAGAACATTCGCAAAATATTAAAATAGGTGGTGTAGCTCTTCCAATGTCAATACGTCTGATGTGTGTACGTGCATTGGCGACTATTGATATACCAGTGGTCTCTCTTGGTGTTCCTCTTGTGGCTTCTCAACTACGAGAGATGTTAGTACAACGACTCGGCATGATCGTTGCGGCAAATAAGATGGAAGAAAATATTCTGCTTGAATGCGTCTATGCAATCGCAGAAATCATCGGTAATCCCAATAATAATAATAAGAATAGTAGTAGTAGTAGTGGTAAGAATAATGTTATTGCCTCTAGGAATGGTGATTCTGCTGCTATGGTTTCTTTTTCTGGAAAATTCCATGATGAGGCTGCAGTGTATTACCGCAATGAAGTACCAAATGAGGCGTTTGAGGTGTTAAAATCACTTTTAGAGTCTTCAAATCTTCCCTTTTCTGTACAACAGGCATTATTCTATTCACTCTGCGCCTACGGTGGTGCACATGGCGAACTATACACTTCTCAAACAGCTATTCAGAGCCCAATTGTACTCTCACGGGCTGCCGCAACCTTTGGCCTGCGTGCCTGTGGTGGGAAAGTGATTCGTACACTTGCAGTGGCATTAAATGATGAGGCTGTAGAGGTACGTCTTGAGGCATTTGATACATTAACCGCTATTGGGGTGGATCCTATATTAACAGTACTGCGTACACGTCCTCATCAGCACACACGACAAGTAATTGCTGCGCTAAGGGATTGTTTATTGCGTGATATTGGCCGAAATGCTAAAAGGCAAGTAGCGCAAGAATTGTATACAGCAATAACACAGTATAGAACGCTGTAGTCGACTTTTTATTTGTTTTGTGTATTATTATTATTATTATTATTATTATTATTATTATTATTATTATTATCGCCTATATATATATATATATATATATATATATATATGTATCGATAGATATACATTTTCTTTAATAACTCTGTACTCTGATGAATTACACTATTATAGTTTATGTTCTCTTTCCTATTATTATTTTCCTTATATATATATATATATGAGATAAGGGACTTGTGTAGAATATGTGATGTACGGTTGTTTACCCCTTTCTTTTTCGATCGTTACTCTTTCCTTTGTTTTTTTCTGCCATTCTTTCTATGCTCTGCTTTTCGCTTGTTATGTTTATTCCTTTAAACCACCATTTATATTCTTTTTTTGTTCCTTTCTACTCTTCTTGTTTCATTCACCTTTTAATACTATAAAGAAAGGAAAGCGCCAACCGAACA